ATCGGTCACGGTCTTCTAGAAGATTCGCGTTCATTCCTGCAGACTTAACTATCGCCCTGCTTTCTTGTTCTCGAAAGTGCCAGTTCACCCTCGCCCCGAGTATGTGACACTCGAACCTTCTTTGCCGAACTTTCGAGATAGTGACGCACTGTAGGTAAGCAGCTGCCCGCGACATTGTCGAGTCAGTTTCGCTCTCGCTCTCTGTTACGCTGCCGAATCGCCGCCTGGTTTCTGCTGCCTCGACGCCCTTTCTATACGTTTTTTGTTTGGCACAAGATCGCCGATAAAACCTTTATTTTTCAGTTCACTGTTCGTCCTCTCGTCCACCTTCATTCGTAATACTATAAATCTGATCACATTGAAATATGTGTAATTGGCCTCTGAAATCTCCGATGACGGCGCACGGGCAATTCTATATTTTTCAACACGTCGGAGGTTTTGTTATGCATGTGTCTCGCCATTTTGCTCAGGACGATTTTCGCGTTTTGTTCGGCCCACATTTGCTGGAGACGTGAGCTCGGAGCGTACGCAACTGGCCCCCTTGCACGAGAACTGGCGCAGCCGTGCGCGTTCCAAAAAAAGCTCGTGCAGAGAAGAACAAGCCAGGGACCAGGGATGCCAAATTCAGGACATAGAAAAATAGCCCACTGTATCGAAGCGCCACCACGCACGATTTCTCGCATTGATGTACAGGCTTGGAAGGCGATCCCACCGCCATCTAGTGGTTCAGAATCACACTAACCAAGGGTGGGGTTGCACCTTAAGTGTGAAATCTCACGTCTGGACTCGCGGAGGAAAGACAGAAGAGACGCGTGACCCAGTGCGTGAGCATTGTCGTTGCCCTCGATTCCTATGTGTGCGGGAACCCAGAATATCTTTGTATTGGTGCCCAGCTGTCGAAGTTCACCGATCAATTTCTTGATCAGCATCACCTTTCTGCTGTCGCTGAATCTTTTTTCGCATTTCGAAATAGCTTCGGCTGAATCCGCGAAGATGCGGATGTCTTGTGGCGTTTCTGCTTCTGATTTTCGTAGGTCCCTGATAGTTTCAAGTGCTAGCAAAATTGCGGAGAGGAGTTCCCCACCTTTGACAGTTGTCTCCTTGGAAAGGAGTTTGGATTGCGTCTTGCAGAGTCTGGGTATGACTACTGCAGCACATGTCACATTAGCACCGGCATCATGCGCCGCGTCCGTGTATATTGCCAGGATCTTCGAGGGGTCTTTCCAGCATTGGACCATCTTATGATGGGCCTTTGCTAGCCTCTTGCCTGGTTCTGCGGGTTCGCGTCGCGTTCGCTTGCGTTGTTGGTGTTCCGTCCGTGATGTCGAGATCCGATATCGACGGCGGATTCTCTCTTGGTAGTGAAGGCAAAGTGTATGCCACGCATGCCATGTTTGTTTGTCCTAGTATGCCTCTCCCGGCAGCTGTGTCTTTCAGCCGCTCCATGTGTGCCTTCTCTCTTGTCTCCACCGCTTCCCGTATGGAATTGAATTGGGCGTATTGCCATAACTTGTTCAGGAGAGCGAATCGCGGCAGACCCTCGTTCACCATCATGACATAATTGTTTAAAGTCTCCAGCTTGAATCACTGGCGTTTTGTCAGTTTGAAGTGTTGTGCGCCGTAACACACCCTTGAAAAAAATTGTGCCTTGACCATTCGTCGCGCTACTTCTTCCGATGCTCCGCCTTGTATTGAGCAGATTCGTCTGATGATTCACAGCGCTGCGTGACACCGTTTCTGTGTTGCATTGATGCCTTTCTCTGCGCCGCCGGTGTCCTCAAATGTGACTCCGAAGATTTTGATGGTCTGTGAGGGTTGGGTACGTTTCCCATCTATAGCGACAGAACGGTCCTATTCTTGACGTCCGCTATTCTTTGTTTTCTTGAGGCCACCACCATATATGTGATCTTTTCTGATGACGCTTTAAGACCAACCTTGTTGAGATGGTAATCGACAACGAAACGTTCGCCCTCGAACGCATCGGCGACGCCATTGCCCATGCGCGCGCGAGTCGTTCGGGGCGTCGGGAGGCTCTTCTCGTTCGTTTCTCCCATTCCGGCCGCTGGAGTCGTCACCGCAACGCAGCCAGCACCGTTCACGACTCGGGTAAAAAAAGATGGCGGTCGGTTCGACGACTGACTTCGCCGACCCAGCCGAGCCTAACGCTCGGCTGGGTCGGCGATTTGCCATCCTGTTGGTCTGCCTCATTTGAGAGGTTGAACCAAATCATTTCGAGGACTGCTCACAATGGTAAGCGATCGTGAATGCTGTAAGCTGCGCATGCTAGTAGATTTTTGCAATCTGCAGGCAGACTAGCTGCCGTGGCGACAGCGAGCAGACGATATGATTAGGTTCGACGGCACACAACGTGAACGATCGTTCAAGTTCAAGATGACGGAGATACACCACATACCTTTACGGTCGTTCAGGTACTTTTTACTCTACCCAGCTTCGCAGTTCTCAAAATTCCGACCTGCAGATGTTACGTCGGCCGTCTTGTTTACATCAGTCGTACGCCGGAAACACAATCCGCCACGGATTTACACGTTGCAGAATGTTTCAGATGTTTCCTAGAAGATGGCGCCACCGATCAAAGAAATCATCATCATCGTTTACACGGTCAGGCCAGTTTCACGATTCGCTAAATAATGTCAAACTTCGCGTATGGTTTCACGGAACGAACCAGCTGCACCGTTCGTGATTTCAGAACCGTATGCTCAAAAAACGACTTTCTAAAACTCCCTATTCACTTCGCTTGACGCAATTTAGGTGGAGGTAACGTTCCGTCCTAAGCCCCGCTCACAGGTGAGTGGCGGCGCTTAGAGAAACCTTACTAGAGAATTTTAGGGAACCGTCTTTGCACATTCGATACGGTACGAAGGGCCCTCGGGTACGAACTGCGCATGCGCTACCACGGAAGACTCGTATATCTGCAGTACGTATTGTGCAAAAACGGTTCTCTAAAATGCCCTATTAGATTAGCTCAGTTACGGAACTGGTCATAGACGCTGCGTGCACGAGCAGTGCCCCCCTGTGTCAACACGACTCGCCTCCCGTCGTTCGACGCGCCGGACGGCTGCTATGGTAACTGCAGTGTGTTATGATGTCATGAGGCTTTCTGATCTTAGAAGAAAAGGACATCCAGTGAGCACGCTCCCAGGAAGTGGCACGCGCTGTTGCGTTTGGGACTGACGAGCAATCGCCATAGCTGCCGCTTTGATCCCGTATGTATTTATTAAACAGTTTGCTTAAAGGAGCTGTGCAACGATATTCAATTGGAATGTTTTTCTCTCTACACTAGCTTACTGGCACACCTCGGACTCAAGGATACTCACACGCAACACCATTGGCCAAGAAACTCCTTTGTTGTGGTGTAATTTCAAGGACAAAAGCGATCATTTTCATTCAATCTCTCCTTTGCAAAATTTGATGACGTAACTCGGGGATCGCAGTACACCCAAGTGACGATATTTGAATGCGGTTCATAGATTGGACCCGAGCATTGCGTGGGCACTCGACTTGGGCTCGTGACAATTGCTAGCTCGAGAAGCATTCGGGTTGTGACCCGTGTCCAATCGCTGCAACGACGACAACAGCCGAGCCATAACAATGTCTGGAACTCAGCGCGTGTCCTGCGCTTTGCCAACCCCTGCGCGTGGCTATGATCAACACTGGCGGCATATAATCGGCTCCAGATCACGTGGCCGCTTGTTCTGGCTGCGAGTTGAGGGGGTGAACGCCGCTCGTTTTTCTTAAATTTTTTTCTGGGACTTCTATTGCGTGGGGTGAAAAACGAACGCGTGTTTCATAGGTCATTAACGTTAGGGATCCGATTTAAGCGGTATTTGTGCACAGTACAAAAATTGTTGCATCGCTCCTTTAAACCATCCTCCTCAGCGTAACTAGCAACATAGCATGGTGTCAGAAGTGGTGAGCAGCTCAACGTCCATATTTTTTATTTAACAAGCAACAGCAGCAACAATATGGCATCTGCTTTCCTACAACCGCCGGCTCCGTTCCATCCTGGTGACGACCCAGCAAGAGCATGGGATGAGTGGAAATCATCGTACCTTATCTTCGAGGCAGCCTGTGAATATGTATCGAAGCCTATCTCAACTCGGAAAGCTTTTCTGTTCCACTGCCTTGGACCTCAGGCAAGACGAATTACGCAAACCTTTTCTCTGCAACCAACAGGAGATGGTCAAAGCGGGCAAAGAGGGAATGCAGTAGATTGCATACTGCACGAATTTGATAAACTGTATGCACCTTACAAAAGCGTGACACAAGCAACAGCCATTTTTAACACAATGTGCCAAAAGCAAGAACAAACCATTGACGAATTTGTAACTGAGCTAAAACTGCAGGCTCAGTAATGTGACTACGGAGCTCAAGAAAACAGGCTCATCTGTGATCGTATCATCATTGGGATACGAGACGTGGCTTTGCGCGAACGGTTGTTTCGTGAACCGAGTCTAACCCTAGACAAAATCATTTCAACCTGTAAAGCAGCTGAAATCTCAGAAAAACACGTGAATGATATTCAAAAAACTGAAGACGAAGTTAGAGTTGATGGACTCTATCGTCAGCCATCTAGCTTCAGAACAGCGCAACGCAGTTACCGACCATCCGGACCACAAAAAGACCAATCCAGCAACCGACAGCAAATTTCATGTTCGAGATGTGGTACTTACCATCAACCCCGAAACTGCCCAGCTTACGGAAAGCATTGCCTTTCATGTGGAAATTTTGGACATTTTTTCCGAATGTGCAACCAGACACAACAGAAAACCTACGGGTATCGACGTGTTTCTGCAGTAGAAGAAACTTCCAACTCATCCATGAACAATGACCGCAATGAAACAATCCATTTGGGAGGCATAGCAATTGGGCCTCTTCCATCGACCAAAGCAACCAAGTTTGCGCAAACTGGGACAGAGCTGGAGAGGCGGTCAAAGAAAAAAAAGGGCATGCTGGCACCTCGCCCAGAAGAGGGACAAGGCATGATTTCAGAGTTGGTGTTGGCAAAGGCAGAAATGCAGCGAATGTCTTTGGAGAACGAGAGAAATATCGAAGCGAGCTTTGGCCGTGAGCAGGCCCTTCAACGCGAGTGCAAGGCAGCTTCGGCTCTCCTGGGGAAGATGCAAGCGCAGCAAGCAGAATTTTCTCGTGCCAAGTATCAGGAGTCTGAAGCATTGAAAGTCCAGTTAGTTTCTCTAAGTGGGGATTTGTCAAAGCAGCTGGAGCTTGTAGATGCCAAGGTGGAGGAAGCGAACACCCTGAAGGAGAAGTTTGAAGCATCTCAGCTTGAGCTCGAAAGGTTTTCTGCCGAATACTGCATCTTACAAGATGTCCTTCTTCAAGACTGTGGCGAGGACTTGCCGCTAGTTCAGAATGATTCCGAACAACGAGAGTTCAGTGCCCTTCAGTACCTCAAGAAGCTGCTGAACATCGCAAAACGCAAGAGAGAGGCCCTGGAAGACCAGCTTGCTAAAAAAGAGGAGCAGTTTAATCTACTTCAGCAAAACTATCAGTACTTAAAGGACCGGTACAAGTGGCCGTTACAAGATCTCGGGGCATTTGTCCGGGGCATCATCGAAGCATTTGTCCGGGGCATCATCGAGCACACCAAGCAGTCGTCAGAAGCTGCAGTGTCTCGTGAAGCAAGTCAGCTGGAAGACTTGAACCGTATGCTGGCAGTTCTTCAGGAACGGGTCACATCCTTGACAGTTAGGAACGAGCTCCTCGCTCAAGAAAGTCAGCAGTGGAAATCATCTTGTGAAGATGCGAGTGAAAAAATCAGATGCGTGTCTAATGAAAGTCGCCTCTGGCAGCAGAGACACGAAAAGGTGGCGGAGACTTTGAGAGAGAGAGAGAGAGAGAATGCTGTTAAGTGTAACAATTCGTCGCAAACGGAAGCAGACGGAAGCTCCTTTACCGAGAATGCAGAAACAAAGTGCGAGAGGTTAGACGGGAAAGCCAGCAGCCTCCTAAAACGCAACGGAAAGCTAGAAAGCGAAGCCAACATTTTGTGGTCAGAACTTTCCTGCCTGGAGGAGCAAGCTAAAATGCTCGTCAGCGACAACAAACATTTTCAACAGCTAGCTGAGAACTTAAAACAGGCACGACATTGCCTCGAGGAGGAGTTGAAGACTCAGCGCGAGCAGCACGTCAAGGCCACCAAGGAGATGGAGAACGAGCACTGCACTGCGCTGGACGAAGCGGCTAAGTGTGAGGCAGCACTATCAGCGCTGAAGACAGACCACTCCCAGCTGTTGGACAAGTATAACCACATTGTATACAGACACAGGAACCTGCAGGAAGAGTTTCACGCGGCAGCCCAAGAGAAACGCAGTTTGGAGGACAGGTGCGCTCAGCTCACAGAAGAGTGGGCAACAGCCAGACGAGCTCTCGCAGTCTTCGAGGAGCAGCAGGGCGCAGTGGGACAAAAGATCATGCAGGAGCTGCAAGAGCTGTGGCAAGCAAACCAGCAGTTGCAAGAGCACTTTCGCCTCCTCAAGGACAAGCATCTCAAGGCTGAAGAACGGTTGGTACAGGCGCCAAACCAAAAAGTGGAGGCCTCGATGGAACATGTCACCGAGGGCACTGGGGGTACAGCGAGAACTTTGGAGGCACCAGCAAGCCGAGTCGAGATAGAGGAACTCTCCCGGCAATACGAGCCCTTTTTGAAACAGTCTCGTGCCGAGGAGAACAAATGGAACCAGAACAAGCAGCAGCAGAAACACATTGCGGACTTACAGGCGCAGCCGGTACCACACCAAAGAAGCACATGGAACAGCAGAAACGAATACAGCTGCTGAAAACTATTTCCCTACAGTCTAAAACGAAGCTCCAGAAGACAATGTCCATACAGTTTCAAATGGCGAATGACTTGAACACATTTCCACGTCTACAAGGTCAACAGGATAACAAAAAAAAAACAACAAAAAAACAAGACGTCGACGCGTCGTGGTGAAGCCGCTATGACACAGAGACTGACAAGTGCCGCGATCGCACTGCGTTATCTTCAAAAAAAAAAAGAAGGGGGGCATGTTATGATGTCATGAGGCTTTCTGATCTTAGAAGAAGAGGACATCCAGTGAGCACGCTCGCAGGAAGTGGCACGCGCTGTTGCGTTTGGGACTGACGAGCAAACGCCATAGCTGCCGCTTTGATCCCGTATGTATTTATTAAACAGTTTGCTTAAACCATCCTCCTCAGCTTAACTAGCAACATAACACAGTGTATTCTATGGGATACGTACGTTTCGAAGCACGGCGTCTAGATGGTGTTTCAAGTTTGCTCTAAAGAACGCTCAGTCATGAAACAAACATCTAGATGGCGCTTCGAACGATGGGAGGCTTTATCGAGGGGCTTTATGGGAGGCGAACTGAAGTGAGTGAGGGGGGGGGGGGGGCGGGGGGTACCGCCCTCCGCGGGATTTAAACTGATGACGTAATCTGGTAACGTTGGCTTAGAGTCACTCTAGCCCACCGAGGTAGGAAGCTTCTGGAGGTGACATGACGCTTTGGAGAGGTGTGTGTGTAGGCGTTGTAGACTAGATCTGGGTGAAAGTGAGAGCCAATACACGTTCCTGTGATGAGCAAAACCATGAGACGCTATTGGACGAAAAGGGGTTGGCGCCATGTCAGCTCTCCTTTTCGACCAATAGCGTCTCTTGGTTTTTGTCATCGTTGGAAGCGTGTCCCTCTCCACAGCGTCATTTCGCCTCCAGAAGCTTTTTACCTCCATGCTCTGGCCCCGCTCATTACTACTGGATGGGCTTGGCTGCTCGACCGAAAAAAAATATGGTCGTGTGCATGTTTATACAGCCTAGGACTTGGTCTGCCTCAACGGGCGACGAGTCTCCCAGATGTAGATAAGAAATTTAGCCAGTGCAGTACAACTGCTAGCCTGGGGTCTTTAACGTGCATCACGCAATAGTGCTACACGACCGCACGCCGGTACGATTCTCATCCAGATCAAAACGGAAGACGACGACGATTGGAATACAAAGCACCCATTTCCTATCGCTCTTCTAACTAGTTCAATAATTTGCGCAAATCTTGGCGCAAAAGAAGGCAGCCCCGGCAAGGGGCCGCAGCTTGGAGCCCTGGACCGGCAAACTGAAGACTCATATGCCTATCCGGAGCCTCGAGGCAATGATCCCCCAGATTTTCCCGGGACCATAGTGAAAACACCAAGTGGCAAGCTCCTTGGTGCAAGGACTCATGCCATGAGCCAGACGACGGCGAACCCTTATCCGACTCTCGTGAGTCATTCTCAAGGCAACAGCGGTCCACCAGCCGTTACAGGTCAGCTCATTTACCATCAGATGTCCCAACAAGAGAGTCAGTTTTTAACGGACTGTACGAAGCAACGTGAGACAATTGAAGAATTCATGAAGAACAAGGAGCTCCTAGTACAGGTGCTCACGCAAAAGGATTCGTTTCAGGAGTACTCGAATCATAAGAACGAGTTCGAAGAGTTTCTTTTGAACCGCAACCTGTCTTCCACTGTGCGGCAGAAGCAGACGGAGGCAGGTACTATTGGGGAAAAATGAAATGCGAACAGAGGAGCGCGTGGCTCGCGGTACAGGCGGCGCCGCCTGGAAGTGATCCTCGGAGCGAGGGTGCGTGGCCTACTCCGACGTGTTCACGCCCCTCCCTCTGCGCTCCCCAAGCTTCAGCAGTGCGCCTCTTGGTGCGCTGAAAGCTATCACCGCTATCTTTGCTGGCTCAGCGCGTGCGGTGCAAAGAAGCTCGCCGGCCGGACTCGCCGGCAAAGATAGCGCACTGAGAGGCGCACTGCCGAAGCTGGGGGAGCGCCAATCGAGGGGCGTGAACACATCGAAGTAGGCCACGCACCCTCGTCCCTAGGCTCACTTCCAGGCGGCGCAGCCTGTACCGCGAGCCACGCGCTCCTCTGTTCGCATTTCATTTTTCCCCGATAGTACACAAGAAACAAATACAGCATGTACAAATGACGCGAGCCAGAAAGATGACAATGAAGAATGGCCACTACTACTATCGCATTCTTGCAAACACAGCACTTTGCCTACAAAACAAAGAGAAGCCCTTGCAGATACAAGGAGGTCCCCAACTCAGACAGTGGTGCTGACACCTACCTGCAAGGAGAAGGTTCACGCCTTCACCGGACGAGACATCTACCGGACGATGGAGAAAGCCGGCATCCAGAACATGGACGGTTTCACAGTGCACCTCAACGAGAAGTCGAATACTATCGCAATCACCACCAGAAACCCTCGGCTAACGAGCAAGCTACTCAACATTGGAGCGGTAGAAAAAGCGGAGAAAAAGTATGAGATGAAACCGTACATGGCCATCTCCAGCAACCAAGTGAGGCGAGTTATATACCTGCATGGCGAAAACCTGAATGAAACACCAGAATCACTGATGGAGGGATTAGACTGTCGCACAAACAACATTGTGACAGCTAGGATCATAGGAAGTTCCGGAAAGACGGTACTGATCACTTTCGAAGGTGAGAAAATTCCGAAGCATGTGCGTTTCCTATGTGAAGTGTTCAATGTAATGGAGTACAGACTCAGACCGGTAGTATGCTACTCATGCCACCGCATTGGTCATAAGTTCGATGTGTGCCCCCACGGCACAAAAAGATGCGGCAACTGTGGACACATTCATGGAGACGCAGAAGGATGCGAATTGCTGCCGAAATGTTTCCACTGCGGGGACCCACACGTTGCAACTAGCAACAATTGCCCCAAAAGACAGATACCGGCAAGGCGCCCACAGCCGAGAAAATTCCTAACACCAAGGCCCTTTTTGAACGGCCCTCCACCACCACCGAGAGCATCGAACCGTGGGACTGAAGACAGTTCCAAGCCTCAAACAGGGGCCTGGGCTACTCCCCTCAGGCTAGGACCAAACAGGCAAGCACCCGATCCGGCGTCAATTGAGACAACTCTATATAACGACGATCCGACTGCGATGGCGACACAAATGCTACAGAACAGCAGCGTCACGCAGAAAATGGCGTCACTGGATCAAAGAGTCAGAAAAATGGAAAATACACTGGACTGCATTCCGCAGGCCCTCAATGCTATGAACCGACCAAGAAATAAATAGGACCCGCACGCAAAGGTCTAAAAGTAAAAAGACGCCATGGGTCTTACAGTGGAATTGCCGAACCTTCCGACAAAAGCAAGCAGAATTCAAGGAAAGACTGGACAAAATGGGTGACAACAAACCGCTTATGATCCTGCTTCAAGAAACAAAAACAGACTCGATCAAAATTAGGGGTTACAACACCTATACGCAAACCGCCACCAACACCGACCGTGATACACCAGAGAAACCCATACCTACAGTAGCAACGCTGGTAAGTAAGGACATCTCCCAGGCACAACTCATGACGCAACACCTCTGCAACAACACGCAGGAAGTTGTGGGTGTCAAAGTACGAATAGGGGGTAAGGAATGTAGAATATTTAATACCTATATCAGACCGCACAGACGGGAAGGGAATGACATGTCATGGTTAGATGACGTGAAACACGGCAATATTCCTACGCTGGTGGCCGGCGATTTCAATGTCCAACACACAACATGGGGATATAAGCGAGAAAACCAACGCGGAAAAGCCTCAACAGCAAGTGTAAACAGCTAGGGCTTCTTCTCAGGAATGAGCCGGATTCACCAACCAGACTAGGACTCAACCCAAGGGAAGCGGATACAACACCGGACTTAACATGGACAACCAGGAACCTAAGGGTGACCTGGCACACAAAGCCGGACCCCATGGGAAGCGACCACCTTCCAATCAGTATCAAATTGCACATCAGCGAGGGTGCGAGAAAGAAGGTTCACTTTATTAGATGGGATAGGTTCCGAATGCTGCTAGGAGAGAGCAGCACAGAAGACCTAACACGCAGAATACAGTTGGCCATGGCCGGCGCAAAAGAGGAATACCGAATACGAGAAGACGCACCCGCGCCAGACCTGCATTTACTTAACCTATGGGCCAGTCGCCTTCAAGCCTTACAACGGTACAGGAAAAAGAAACGAGACACAAAACTCAAAATCAAGCTCAATCTTGCTACGGCTCGAGCAAAAAGGTACACATTGGAGCTAAGCCGGCTAAAATGGCAAACGCACTGTGGATCCTTCAACGAGAAGACGGGGCTAGGAAAAGCATGGCGCACGTACAAAGGGATGTGCGGAAAGACTAAAAGCAAAGGGATGGGAGCCAACCTGGCTCTCAAGCTTGGAATATCAGAAGCTGAGTTAGCAATTCAAGCTGGAAACAGCTTCTTCCCGCAGCCCACCACTTCCCCCCTAAGCACCTGCTACGAAAGATCGCAAACGGACGACCAAGCACCAGAAGACGCTCCCTTTAACAAGGGGGAACTGCTGGCGGCCATAGCCACAGCCAAATGCAACACAGCACCGGGACCCGACCATGTAACTATTGCTGCTATAAATAACCTCCCAGAAAAAGAACAGGAGGAACTTTTGGAATGGTACAATCAAATTTGGGTACAAGGCACCCTACCCAGAGAGTGGAAACACTCCACCGTAATTCCGATACCCAAACCCGGAAAGTCAACCAACGATATCGGAAACCTAAGACCGATTTCTATCACCTGTAACCTGTGTAAAATAATGGAGAGAATGGTTTTAGCCCGTATTACATGGCTCCTGGAAACACAAAGCAGACTGCACCCTATGCAAACAGGATTTAGGCAAGGCCTCTCAACGCAGGACAGCTTGGCCATGATACACCAATACATAACATCAACTCCCCCAAAAGGACAACCCCGCACCATCGTGGCAATTGA